CCTTGGGCATATGGGGCAAGAGTTTTATCACCAAGTTACAATCCAAACTTTGTGTTTATCTATAGTAAAATATGTTCATAGTAATACTCATGAGTTACTTTTCTTAAACTTAAGTCCTTATATAACTTCTTTTATTTCTACCTTTATATTAATTAGTGATTTTTCTATTATTTCATTCTCATATGAACGTAGGTTTTGACTGACATTATCTTTGTTTTATAATACTAGATTTATGAAATACTTTAGAATGTAGGTCAAAAGTAAAAACTATTAAAATGGGAAGCTATTTGAAAATATTTTTCCTAGTGCTTAATTTAGCTCCTAGTGATATTAAGCACTGGCTACTTGCTTTTATAATATTATAGAGTAATAAAATATTTTAAAGTTTCTTAGAGATCTCTATCATTTTGTGAGGTATTGAGAGTTCTGTCTTTTAAATTTAATTTTTGTGAGGTATCAAGGTTCTGTCTTTTAAATGTATTTTTCTAAAATATTGAACAGATTTTATTATATTTAGTGACATTGTACAGGCCCTCATGTTACATGTACTATTCAACTTTTCTCTTGTTCTGTAATTATCATTCCACTATAATGTACACTTAAAAATTCTGGTTAGACTCTGGAAATCAGTATGGCAGTTTCTCAGAGAATTGAGAATCAACCTACCTCAGAATCCAGCACACAACTCTTAGGCATATACCCAAAGGATGTTCAATCATAATACAAAGACATTTCTTCAACTATGTTCATAGCCGCATTATTTGTAATAGCCAGAGCCTGGAAACAACCTAGATGTCCCTCAACTGAAGAATGAATAAAGAAAATGTGGTACATTTGCACAGTTGAGTACTACTCAGTGGTTAAAAAAAAAACCCACAATGGCATCTTGAAATTTGCATTCAAATGGACAGAACTAGAAAAAAATATTCTGAGTGAGATAACCCAGACCCAGAATGATGAACATGGTGTGTACTCACACATAAGTGGGTAGTAGCTGTAAAGCAAAGGATAACAAACCTATAGTTCACAATCCTAGAGAAGCTAAGTAGCAAGGTGAACCCTAAGAGAAACCTTTATAGAACAATCTGGGAAGGGGAAATAGACAAGACCTCCTGACAAAACTGGGAACATGGGGTGGGGGGAGAAGGGAGGGTGGAGGGGGAGGAGGTTGGGAGAAGGGGGAGAGGATAAGAACTTGAGGGAATGGGATAGTTGAGAAGGAGGAAGGACATAAATGGAGAGCAAGGAAAGAGATATTTTGATTGAGGGAAGCATTATGGGGCTAACAAGAAACCTGGCACTAGAGAAATTCCCAAGAATCCACAAGGATGACCACAGCTAAGTAATAGTGGAGAGGGTACCTGAACTGGCCTTGCCCTGTAGTCAGATTGATGACGATCTTAAATATCACTATAGAACCTTCATCCACCAACTGATGGAAACAGAGGCAGAGATTCACAGTAGAGCACTGGACTGAGCCTCCAAAGTCCAGTTGAAGAGTGGGAGGAGTGAGAATATGAGCAAAGAGGTCAAGACCATGAAGGGTTCAGTCACGGAAACAGTTTACCTGAGCTAATGGGAGCTCACCAACTCCAACCGGACTGGGAAGGAACCAGCATTGGACCAAACTAGTCCCTCTGAATGTGGGTGACAGTTGTATGGCTGGAGCAGACTGATGGGTCACTGGCAGTGATACCAGGATTTATCCCTACTGTTTGTATTGGCTTTTTGGGAACCCACTCTTTTTGGGTTCAGCCTGGATATAGTAGGGAGGGCCTTGGACTTTTCCTGAAGCAATGAGCCTGCCTTACCCTCTCTGAGGAGTGGATGGGGAGGAGATGGAGGAAATGGGAGGAGGGGAGGGAGTGGTAACTGGAATTGGTATGAAAAATGAAAAAAGATAGCTTGTTAGCTTGTTTTCTTTTAATAAAATTAAAGAAGAGGAATAAAAGTTCTGACTAGAATATTATCCCAATGTGAAAATATTGAAATAGAAATATGGTTATTATAACATAAAAAACAACAACTTATGATTAACTGGGACTAATAGTGAAAATCTGTAAATCTCAGCCACTCAGGAAGCTCAGAGGATCTTAAATTCAAAGCCTGCCTTGATAGCTTAGCGAGACTCTGTCTCAAAATAAAAAGTGAAGAAGGGACCGGGACTCAGAGGTAGAATGCTTACCTAACACAATTGAGGCCCTGGGTTCAATCTCCATTACTAATTTAAAAACAAAAGAAGAATAAAATGCACATAATTAATTAAATACAATTAAAACTCATGTAAGTTCTTTGATGTTTAATTTTTCCTTGTGCTCTTCTATGACAATTGGCTTATTTGGATGCAATTTTATTTTGAGCCTAGCTTCATATAAAATTATCTCAACTTAAACCAAAGCAACCAAAGGGAATATTTTATGAGGAATTTATTTTAGTGTCATTTTGAGGGGATATTAGAAAAACTTAACGTTTTTAGTAGATACTAATAGAAATATGGAATTTTCTGGAATTTTTGTAAACTGCATACCCTTGAGCAGTGGTTCTCAATCCATGGGTTGTACCACTTTGGGGGTCAAACTACCCTTTCACAGGGGTCACATATCAGATATTCTGTATATCAGGATATTTACATTGCAATTCATAACAGTATCAAAATTACAGTTATGAAGTAGTAATGAAATAATCTTATAATTGGGGTCACCACAGCATGAGGAACTGTATAAAAGAGTTGTAGCATTAGGAAGGTTGAGAACCACTGCCCTAGAAATAATGGAGATACATATAAAATAGGTGGTTCTTTTCTTATAGTATTTCTTGAATAGAATGTGTTTTCAAACACAGTTTGAAAAGCAAAAGTCTGTGTGAAAGTGGTGTGACAGGCATACAATCCCAGCTACTTGGAAGGCTAAGACAGGAAGGTCACAAGGCCAAGGCTAGCCTGGGCAATTTAGTGAGGCCCTGTCTCAAAATAAAAAGGTAAAAAAGATTTGGGGATACAATTCTGTATCAGAGCCTTTACCTGGCATGTGTAAAGTTCTAGATTAAATTACCAGTAAAGATGAAAATAAAATACATAACAAATAAATTTAAAAGTTTGAGATCTAACAGGACTGTAAAGCCTATAGTGCCTAGACCTTAGTACACTGCTGCCTGTGGTATAGTATTTATCCAGGGTCCCAACAACTAGGCAAGCTGGGAATGTGATGTCAGGGCTAAAAATGCTCAGGTTCGCAAGTCATGCTCTTAACAACTGTCTCTCGAAGTACTGCCACATCTGATATTACTGGCTCCTGGCTTTCACTGAATTCTACTGATGCACCCCTAGGCTATGCTGCTTGCAGCCCTTGGTTCTCCTCTTCTCCAGTTCCTTCTAGCAACTTTTCCTTGCCAGGCATCTTGTGTATGTCTCTAGACCTGATATGGACCGGAGGCAGAGTACAGAGGAGTAGCCCATTTTGACAGGGCTGTCTTCTGTCTGGCAAATATTCCACAGTCCCAGTCAGCTCCGATAGCCAGCAAACCTTCCAGAGCCTAGCTGTCTTTGGACCATTCTGGATCATAAAGAGTAAAATCTGTTGTTCAGGGCTAATGCCTTTGCTGGTTTCTGAATCTTCCTCCTCCTCCTCCTCCTTTCTTTCTTTTTTTTTGTTGAAAAACTTAGGTACATTGGCCACAGCCCCCACATTCCAACCATGGATGCAGTTCCTGTTGCTCTTTCTCTTCTGCAGCTTCAAAACACTGCTTTACTTGCCTGCCTATCTCCTCTTAGTGGTTCTCACCCTTGCACTCCCCTCAGGACACAGTTCCCTCTACAACATTGAAACACTGAGCTTTCTCTTCTCAGGATTTTTGAACATGCTGATCCTTCTTCTGCCCTGTATCCTTCTTCTGCTCCATGTATCTTCACCCAACCTATACCTTGTTACCTCACCTTTAAATGCTCTCCACAGATTCTGCTTCTGAAAAGCCTCAGCTGATAATCTGGATTCTGTCTACTCTTCTGAGCAAGCTAGGCCTCACCTTTTTTCTTGTGTCATGGTATGCAGAGGTGTTAATAACACTAATGGAGCGTTGAGCACCATTGAACCAGTCATCTTGTAGCACGGCTATTTTTGTATTAAGATAGTGCTACAGCAGTGTTTACCATTAAGAGGTATTTTCATCCCAATTCTGAACATAAGGAAACTGGAACACAGAAGTTGAATAACCTGCCTCAACATCACACACCTAACAAGTTCTGGTATTGGAGTCAAACCTGTTCCCCTAGAGCTGTGCTATTTACCTCAGTGCCACAATCCTGAGTTTTTTCACCTGAGCATGTATCTGGACCCACACAAAGGCACCCAGCCTTTTGCTTCTACTCAGTTCTCCATTCAGTAGGTGTGGTTTGGAGCCCTTGATTTTGAATTTCCAGTGTTAAAACCTTCATTGATTCGAAGTGGCTGTAGCATATATGTGTGCATAGGAGGCTATCAGGGGCTTGAAGTGCTCGCCTTCTTCACTGAAGTTTCTTCCAAGGAAGTGTGCATAGGTCAAATAGTGTAGAGGCAGGTTGAGAGTCCGTGTCTCAGCCAAGTGGTTGGTGTTACACCCAGGCATCACCGAAGAAATGGGGTATTTCTGACTGCTAGAGAACTTCCACTGTGCCTAGCAATCAAAGGTCAGCCTCATACATTCTCTTTTAAAAATTACTTCATTTTTAAAATTTTTTATTAGATATATTCATTTTATTTTATGTGAGCTTTTTGCCTACAAGTATATACATGCACCACATGCATACATGGTCCCTGCAGAAGTCAGAAGGGGGCACATATCTTCTGGAACTGGAACTAGGCATGGTAATAAACCACAATGTGGGTCCTGGAAACTGAACCCAGGTCCTTGGCGAAAGCTGCAAGTGCTCTTAACAGCTGAACCAATCTCTCCAGCCCCATGCTTCATACATTTTAACATATGTTTCTTTTCTTTTAAAATGATTGCACTTTTCTTATTTATAATAGCATTTAGAAGATCTTCTTGAAAGGACGAACAGGCAGATTACCCACATTTTTGAAACTGTTTCAATAATACAAGAGTTTTCTGAGGTATCAGAGATGGAGAAATGTGTAAGTATTATCAAAGCATCCTTTGTGTAGAGAATGTGTGGAGAAGTGTGTAAGTATTATCTTTGTATCTCTGTGGGAAAATGTGTAAGTATTATCAAAGCATTCTTGCAATTTGTTTAAACTTCTATACCTGAAGATATGGATCTGGTAATCGTGAAATTAACAAGACTGATCTACACATGTTTCAGTAGCAGATGGGTGGCTAAAATTCTGTTGAAAAAAATGCTTAAATGTAGGCTTGCTATATTACCACAACAAGTACTTTTATGTTACTAAATGACCATGCATAAATTTCCCTGAAATGTACTGGGGTAGAGGGGGATAGCATTTACCTTTAAAAGTAAAAAGTAGTGTAGTGACAGGTATAGATGTACATGTTTTGACCAGCTATTAAAATACTTTACAATTATTTATGTTTATGTGTGTACGTGCATAGTTGCTGCAGAGGCCAGAAGGGCATGCCAGATTCCATGGGATGGAAGTTACCAGCAGATATGTGCTTCTTGGTGTGTGGGGGGCTGAAAATCAAAGTTGGGTCTTCTGGAAGAACAATATATTAAGCCATCTATGATTCACATTTTAATTATTATTTTTATTCACAGTTGACTTAAATTGGGCTAGTGTCATTTTAGATGTGATTTATATTCACACAAGAATATCTTGTTTATTTCTGTGCATGATTTTTTTTTAAATTTGCAAGTTCTATATAATAAAGTTTTAATTACAAAACGAATGTTTTGGCAAACCAGGTGTAGTTGAATATACCTATAATCCCAGTGCCCAGCAGGCCTGGGCAGGAGGGCCATCATTTGTAAGATAACTTGAATGATATGACAACCTGTCTCAAGAAACAAACCAACAACAAAAAGAAAAGTTTTGATCGGCTGATCTCATGGTGGAACTGAAGTCCAGGAACTGAGGGAAGCTTAACTTATTCTGCTCTCTTTTCTTGGGTAGGGAAATTGTGGCGAGTCATTTAACCAGGCAGAGCAGACATCCCAGGACCAGGACAACCCTAAGGAAAAAGTTCCTGAGCCAGTGGCAGAGGCCGAGCCTGAAGAGCTAGTTTCTAACCAGGACACAGTACCCTTCGATGAAGGTGCTCAAGGAACCAACAGTGTCACCTCATCTGAGCAGCCTGCTGTGGAAGCACCGCTAATATTTCTGCAGCCAGTAGACACCATTCTTGTCACTGACCCTAATGGGATGATTTACCCAGTTGTTGTAGGAGTTGAGAATATCAGCAGAAATACTCTCTCACCGCTTGTCTACATCCCTTCCAATTTGGGTGAGTTTATAAAGACACAGAAATAGCATTCTTTATATTTTAAAACTCCTTCACACATATTAGTTTTTTTCATTGAAAGATTTATGTTGAGACCTTTCCAGATCCACATATAGTGGTAAGAAACAAGTCAGAAATATGATCCTCCTCAAAGGTAACATCTTATGAAAGCTGTGGTTGTCATTTGTGCCTGCGAATTTAGTTCTGTGTAGTTTATTATGAGAAGGTTTATGTGTTTACCACAGTCAAGATATAGAACATCCTATCACAAGGTTTTTTTCTATCCAACATGGTTGTATTGCCACAGATACACACCTAAAACCATCTTTTTTGGTTGTCCTTTCCTTCCACTAGTAACTTTTTAATATAAGTTTCCCCCCATACAATATAATTCCCTGAGGACTCATCCAAATTGTTATGTGTATCAACAGTTTCATCTTTTTTTTTTTACTGCTGAACACTCTGTTTCGTGGAGTAGATGTACTACGACTAAACCATTCATCTGTTAAAGGAAATTTTGTGGGTTTTCTTCCCTTTTTTCTATTAGAATTAAGACTATTTTGAGCATTTATGTATACATTTTTTATTAAATTTAAATTTTTATTTTCCTGAAAAAACTTATCAAGAGTTTGATTACTTACAACCAATATGTGAATTGTATATTTAGCTTTGTAAAAATAAAAAGTTTCAGTGGGATGTAATTAATGTCTTAGTCTATTTCTGCTGGTGAAACAAGATATCATAGACTAATATTTTTTAAATCATAAATTCATTTTCTTGCTGTTCTGGAGGCTGGAAAGTTCAAAAACAAGGTGTCATTTTCTGGTGAAGGCTGCTTTCTGTGAAGGAGAGAAAGGCCGTCTCCTCACATGGCTACAGGTTGTAAGGGCAAGCTCCATAACTGATGCACTAAGCCTCTTTTACAAGGAACTTAATGCCATTCATGAGAGAGGAATTCTCACAGCCTAGTAATCTCTCAAAGTTCTCTTCTTAATACTAACACGTTGTCAGTACTCAGTTCCAAATGAGACAACACATTCATTCAAAGCATAGTAATTGATATGTAAAATCCTACAAATGTTGAATGTATACAGTTTGACAAACTTGGGCATTTGCATGTTCACTTTTGTGAGACTGTATGACTGCTTTTTAGCATATCTAAACTAGTTTACATTCTTGCTAGCATTTTGTACCTGTCATTTCTATGGTTTTCTACTTCTGGATGATTCAAAATTCCTTCCTTCATCACATCCTTCTGTATTGAAGATTTTCTTTTAATACTTCCAATGAGTAAGTCTGTGTGTGTATGTGTGTGGGGGGTGTACAAAATCTTAATTCCTCCTCCTTTTCTGGAGAATATAATCTAAATATGAAAGATCTTATTTGACAACAGTTAATTTTTCTTTTTAAATAGAAATGCCGGGAATTGCAGAAGCCAATGTTGAAAACCACACCCTGACAATGAACAACCCAACTCTTGAGGAAAATCAAGAAGAGGAAGACACTTTCATTCCGCCTGTCTTTCACAACTTCCGTGAGTTTGAAATGATACACATTACAAATAGCACTCTGTAATCCAAATTTACCACAGTGTAAGTTAGTGTCAATTTTTTTTATTGTTTGAGAATTTTATATATACACATAAGTTTTTAGCATATATGCCTCTCCCTTCTCTCTCCTCCCCTCCAACTCCCCTCTCACTCTCGATTTTTCATTCCCAACTTCATGTACACTTTTTAAAAATGCACTGAGTCCACTTAGTGTTGTCAGTATGTACATAAATATATGACTATCTACTGGAGCCTAGGCTGTCTGTCGGGAGTCTTATTCTTAAAAAAATATTGACTCTACTTTTCTCTGTAGCTATCAATTGCCAATAACTCCTCAGGTGAGGTGGAACTTATTTTGAAGGATTCATTAATTTATTTTTTTAGATTATAATTTCATTACAATATTTCCCTCCCCTTTCCTTCCTCCAAACTGCACCACATACACCTCCCATTCTCCTTTACATTAATGTCCTTTTAAAACTAATTTTTATTACATATAGTGTGAGGTGCACTAGGGTGAGGTGAATCTCAAACTACTTTTAATTTACATTTCCATGGTGAGTTACAATTTTGAACACTTTAAAAAGTGTTTCTTAGCTATTTGTGTTTCATCTGTTGAAAACTTTCGCTTAGTTCTTTTAAAATTGGATTATTTATTTTTTGATGTTCGGTTGTTTTTAGTTCTTCGCATATTTATTAGGAATTACCAGTCTTCTATTTCTTCTGCTGTATACATTTTTCATTCCCAGCATTTGTGTATGAATGATCTGTTTCATCCATGCTTGTATTTAGAATCTTTCTGTTGTTATTTTACCCTTCCCAATGGTCCATAGTTGCTTCTTTCTATTAGAATGATTTCTTCTTTGCGTTTATTCAAGGCTCTTTTCGTTTTCATCATGGGACAGTGTCTCTATTCTCCCCATAATATTTAAGGATAGTTGTGTAGAACTTGTAGTTGATAGTTTATTTTTCATCAGCAGCCTTAAAACTTTATATTTTGAGATAACTTAAAATCTGGATGTTAGAAGAAATTAGAGAGGCTACATTTAAGCTGTACTCATTTTCATCAATGATAATGTATTGCCGAAATATAGCACTATGACTGTGAAATTGACATTGATTAAATCAATATTTGTATGCATGAATGTTTATATTTAGTTTCATGGAGTTTTATAATATGAGATGCTTACTTGTTCACCTCCACAGTTATGCTATAGGAGATGTCTAGCATCATTGTAAGAATATTTCCTGTTGCCCCTCTGGAAACTACAACCATGTCCCTCTCTCATCTCCCTTCACCCCACCCTGCTCCATCCTAAGCACCATTTGGCTATCTGTGACCTTAATTTCTTTTCTACATTTTTCATTTACATTTTACTTCAATTTAATTAAATGCTGTGTAACTTTTTGGGTCTAATTTTTCATTCATTGCTTGCTATGAATATCAATTTTTGCACATGTCAGCACTTCCTTCAGTGCCACATACTATTCCATGGCATGTATATACAACTTTCTTTGTCTCTTCACCCACTAATCAATAGTGAAGATAGTTCCAGGGATTTTTAATTGTTAGAAGTAAAGTACTATGAGTGTTTATGTATATGTTTTATAAATTTATGTGAAATTCTGAGTCATATGATGACACGTGCTTCATTTAAGAATTCACTGAATTTTTTTCCCAGGGAGTTATACCATTTTATCACCTCACGAGTATTTGTGAACAACACAATTTCTCTTCATGTATATCTTTCTATTTTCATTTTTCCTTTCTTATGGTTCTCAAAGCTTCATTCTTTTCACCATGTAATTTCTATATGATTTTCCTTTGGCCCTTTTAAAATTATAATTTTGTCTTAGTCTATGTGAAAATGTGTTTATTTCCTGTATTTTTTGAGGGGAGGTTTTGAGACCGGGTTTCTCTGTAGCTTTGGAGTCTGTCCTGGAACTAGCTCTTGTAGACCAGGCTGACCCCAAACTCATTGAGATCTGCCTGACTCTGTCTCCAGAGTGCTGGGATTAAAGGCGTGATCCACCGCCTGGCTTCTACACCTTATTTAAGGATAGTCTTACAATGTATGAATTCATAATTGGGATCCTTGAAAATGTTTTCTTGTAGATATTCCAGTAATACCAGAAGCAGTCTTGGAAGGCAGCCCTGAGACAGTGAATTACCCACCTGCAATGGGAAATAGCAGTGGCCAGCAAAATCCATCTTCATCTGTTGAGCCCGTTTCTGATTCTGGTGAGCTGCAGATGATACACTTTAAGGACAGCATTCTTCAACCCAATCTGTAAACATCTCAGCATCCTTAATGCAAACCATTTGTAGTTCATTTTGCAAATTAAACATTTTATTTTAAAATAATTTTAGATTCATATTATTTGTAAGAAATAAGAACATAATCCCTTCTATATTTTATCATTTCTTCAACAATATATAAGAATACCAAGATTAAATAATATGACCAGGATATTCACATTGATCTGATACTTGAATATAATTGAGAAGGCCCAGTTTTCTTATAGTAGTTTTATGCTTATTCTGATTTCTGTACATACTTATTATATGAGTAGGTTTTATTGCCACTACTGTTGTCAAGATTCAGAATAACTCCATCACCATTGGCTGCCTCATTTGCTTTTTGTTAATCTACCCACCTCGCTCAAGTCAAGCTTTTCTTCCCAACTGCATGTTCCCTACCATGTGACTAATACTGGTTTCTATATTTTTGTCACGTTAACAGTATTATATAAAATCTTACTGTATGTAGATTTTGTTCCCATTGTCACAATTCCCTTATAAGCACTTGTGGGTATCTGTAGATAGTTCATATTATTTCTCAGACCCTCCCCCACTATGTTGTTTTTTTAACCATTTTGCCCATTGAAATATATACTTTTTTCCATCCAGTTTTGGAATTAGGGCTGAACCTCTATGAACATTTGTGTACTGGCTTTTGTGTAAATGTAAGTTTTATTTCTTTTTCATAAATTCCAAAAGTGCAATTGCTAGATCTTTTGGTAATATATTTTGGCAACGATAGTACCATCAGAAACCACCAATCAGTTTCCCAGAGCTGCAGTACCATTTTTATTTAAGGGTGAAATAGTTTTTCCACATTTATGCTCCTAATATGTCCATTGTTCTCCCCCAACTCCCTTCTGATTCTCTAACTTCCCTCCTTATAGCATATCCATTACCTTTGCAGGTCTTTTGCTAGATCTTTATATGGGCAACTATGCTAGAGGAAGATTTATTCAGTTTGTCTTTGTCTTGAGAAAAGTTTTCCCTTCACCCCCCCCCCCAAGGATAGTTTTACATTATGTAGAATTCATGGTTGGGAATCCTTTACTTTCAGAGATCAACGAAGTTATATTGGTAGAATTGCCAAAAAAAGCTGAAGCCATTGTGAATGGATGTAAACAGACAGTGTATTATCCTGCTTTATTAGGACGTGTTGTTCCTCCAGATCCTGAAACTCTAGCTGCCTCTGTATCTTCTGAGTCAGGTGAGTTTGGAATAATACATACACAGTATAAGAAGTACTTTTATTTTTGCACATGTATGTATGTAGCATGCATGCATATTATGTTTGCATTTGTGGACGTGTATGTCTGTGTGTGTGTGCAGGTGTATATCTGTCTGTATGTATGTGCGTCTTTGGAGATCTGAGTTGTTGAATGCCTTCTGTGATTGTTCTCCACTGTATTTACTGAGGTAGATCTCTTCCTCTAGCTGATCATATTGTTCTGGGGATCCCCTGTCTGTGCCCTATAAATGATGATCTGAGTTCTGGGACCACAGGTAGGCTTCTATACCTGCATGATTTTTTTGTGGGTTCTGGGAAATCTGAATTCCAGTCTTCATGCTTTTGTGATAGACTTTTTATACACTAAACCGTCTTTCTTGTCCCAAATAACACTTTTTAAAATCAAAATGCATTAACATTAAGTTTAGTTTTATTTTATATGTTTTGTGTTTTAGCCTGCATGCATGTCTGTGTACCACTTTTGTACATAGTGCTTGCAAAGGCCAGAAAGGGTCAAATCCCCTGGTACTGGAGTTACAGATGGTTGTGAGCCACCAATTAGCATTCTTTTTACAAAACATTGTTTATCTGTTTGTTTGTTTGTTTATATGTGTATGAGTGTTTTGCCTATATATATATATATATATATATATATATATATATATATATATATATATGTCTGCGTACCTGTGATGCCTGGTGCCCAAGGAGGTCAGAAGAGTACATTGGATCCTCTGGACCTGAAATTATGGATAGTTTTGTGGTAACATGTGGGCTCTGGGAATCAAACCTGGAACCTCTAAAGAGCAGTGACACACTTCTTTTAACAGGGTTACACCTACACCAACACAGTCACACCTCCTAATAGTGCCATCCCTTTGGAGGACATTTTCTTTCAGACCACACAAGTTATAAAGTTGTTGTGAACATTTATGTGTGGTTTTAATATAAATGTAAGCTTTTGTTTTCTCTGTTATGAATGTCATGCGTGGAATTTGTGTGTCTTATGGAAATAGCATGTTTACTTTTAAACTGCCAGTTTTCCAGAAAGACTGTACCATTTTACATTCCCAATAGCAAAACATGGGTGACACAGTCTCTCCACATCTATATTTTTGGTTGTTCCATTATTACTTTTTCTTTCCTGCTTTTATAATATCCTTTCTATTTGAAGAATTTTTGTTTGCCATTTTTAAGGGTAAATCTTTTGGTACAGTTCTTTGAATTTTGTTCTCTTTGAGGATGTTTTCCTTTCTCTTTGTCAGCAAAATGTAATTTCAATTAGTATAAGATTCATGATTGAGAATTTTTGTATTTCAGTAATTGAAAAGCTTGTACTAATAGAAGTGCCAGTCCACCCAGCGAGCATCGTGGATGACAATTCTGAGACACTGAATAACCCAATTATACCAGAAAATGTTGGAAGCCAAGAACCTGCTGCTGCATCATTTGTCTCTTCTTCAGGAATTGGTGAATTCTAAATAATATAGCATTAGTAGTGCTGTTTCATCTAGATCCAATAACAGTCTCAGTGCACCGCTAGTGGTAGCTCTTGTTTAAACTAAACTTCCAACTACATTGTAACTAAGATACATATAATAGTTGTAAGAAATACTATAGAAATGCCCTTTATGTTCTACCCATGTTTCCGCAACATAATTCACAGAACACAATTTCATCTTTTTGCATGTGAATATGTCCATAGTTTTTAAAATAATTATATTATACCATGGGTATATTTCAGCATGTTTATCACCTATTTAATGGCAACTAGGTTATTTCCAGTTTTAATTATAAGTTGCTACAACCGTTCATGTACAGGTATTTTAAATTTTTCATCAAATATTTTTTGATGGTATTATTTGCTCATGTGTAGGTTTTTGTGTAAACATAAATTTTGACTTGGATAAATATTCCAAAGTGTAAATGCTTGGTTATATGAAAATTTCATGTTTGATGTAAACAACACTGCTGAACAGTTTTCCATCAAGGGTGTATCATTTTATATTCCTACCAGTTTTAAGTGATCCAGTTTCTTCAATCTATATATTTTTTTCATACCAAATTCATTTTTTGAGAGTGGGTTTCTGTCTGTGGTTCAGGCTGTCTTGGAACTCACTATGTAGCCCAAGCTAGCTTATTTAGCCTTTTTTAGTGCTTCAAGATTTAATATTTCATCACTCTTATCTGAAAATTTTCCTTTAGATATTTATTTTTGCAATGGAATCTCAGTGTGTTTGCCCAGACTTGTCAAACTTTTAGGCTCGCATGACCCACTCACATCTTTCTCTCAGGCAATAAAAACCATTATAAGCTTGGGCCACAATGACCAAGTAGCCATCTTGTTTTCTTCCAGTTTTTTGAGACAGGGTTTCTCTGTATAGCCCTGGCTATCCTGGAACTCACTTTGTAGACCAGGCTGGCTTCAAACAGAGATCTGCTTTCCTCTGCCTTCTAATGCTGGAATTAAAGGCATGTATCACCAATGCACAACCAATTAGTTATTCTTTAAGTTTAATTCAACCAGTGACAAATGGGTCAAAGTTTTCCCTCATGTGAGAGCATCTTTTGTTTACCTTCATTTTTTATCCTTTTTGAGCATGCGAATGGGCAAGACTTCTACTACTGAGTCATGTCTCTAGCCCTTCACCTTTACCCTTTATAGGATGGTATTTTCTGATAGAAATTTTGTGGTTTGGGCTCTTTTCGTTCAGTATTTCATGACTCTCAAAAATTGTAACCAGAATATTAACATATAGTATTGAAATGTCTTCAGTTTTATGTGTATTCATTTTTCTCTTGCTATTTTTTTAGTCAGCATCTAAAATAATGGGTTTAATTAAGACATTTTCATACATGTATCAATATACTATGTTCTTACTCACCCTCCTACTGCCCTCCCCATGCCTTCTCCTCTTCTGTTACTTGTATTTGTTTGTGAGCATGTTTGCATGTGTATTGTATTTCCATTTTACCATATTTGGGGGGTCATGTATTCTTTATCAAGGACATGTCTCCCCAAAAGTTTCAGAAGCACCATAAGCTCTCATGTAGCCCTTTTATAGCCACATTATCTCCCATCAATCAACATTACCCCCATTCCTGTCTCTACATGCTGGCCACTACTAATTTGTTCTCTAAATTCATAAATGTCCACTTTCATATTTTGTGTATTGAATAATGCATGCATGTCCTGTCTTTTGATATTCTGAAATGATGATGTCATCTACAAAGTTCACAGTCAGTAACTACACAATCAAGTAGTAGAAATCACCCACAAAAGGTTGCAGAATATTTGAAGTAATTGGTGGTTTGGTTTTGGACCACATCAGTAGCTATCCTTGGTTGCATGTATTCACATGTGGAATACAGTATACAAGTTGGACAGACCTGATAGTTTCTCTAAAATTGCTTAGATTTTGTCAGTCCATTTTACATCTTTATACCAGTTTTCATTTCTCTGGGATAACTACCAAAGGGTGATTATTAGGCTCTTTAGGTAATTGTGTGTTTAGCTTTATATGAAACATAAGAACTTTTCCAGTGTAGTGTCATTTTCCTTTTTATCAGCAGTGTATGAATCACTGCATTTTCTCTGTTGCCATCTTACTGACTTTTCATTGTTTTTTCTTTCTTCTTGGTTATGTATTCCTTCTGACATATTTTTTCTTTTTTAACTGTTTAGAAAAAAATTATTTTGAACACATGAAAGGAAAATTTAGAGATTACCCTCCCCCCCAAATAAAGCACAGAAGATCCCTTTTTCTAAGGTGATGGGGAATCCCAGCAGGTGTCCCTGAGCAGTGCCCCAGTGTTGCATAAAAAAGCCTGTGTCTCTCACTCTGCACTCCGAGCTCATAGAGCCGTGCCATGAGCTGACATAACTTTTCAAATCAAAGGATTTCCCATTTTTAAGGGCAAATCATCTCCTAACAAGGTTTATTTCTTGTCTGTGAATGTTTTTGATTTCACTTCTTTACTGAAGACTAGTTTTGCTGGATATAAAATATATGCATATATATTTTTTCTTATTTGAAAAATATATTGTTTACAGAATTATCAGACAGTGAAGAAAACAACTCTCAGATAATGAATAACCCACATGTTTTGGAAAATTATGGTAGCCAAACTATGTCAGGCTCTGTCTTTGTTAATCTAGGAATTGGTAAGTTACAAATGATTCTTAGTACAGACAGATTCTTTACTCTAGATGTGTTAAATCAATTCATGTAGGGTAGTGGTAACTTTTTGTAATTAAATCTAATAAAAAATTAAATGTCATTTGAAAATATTTTGGCTTCTCCAGTGAGACACAGCATTTTATAAAACTTAAATACAATGCCAAAATCAATATATTGGTATTGATACAATCCATTGATTTTTATTAAAATTTCTTTAGTTTTACTTGAATTTGTATGTTTGCATGTACAGGCATTTGACTTTATGCAATTTTAGAACAGTTGTAGGCTTCCAAATGATTGCAATCGAGGAATATAAGAATTCCACCTGTTGCTCTTTAAAACCTGTTCCCTCCTACTTCTGTTCTGTCCAGTCTCAACCACTAATCTCTTCTTCCTCTTTCTATTTTTTTAACATTTTAGTATACATATACTCAAATGCCATACATACACGCAAAAATGTTTTGAAACTGGGTTTTTATTTCACCCAGTATAATTATCTGGGGAATTCATCCAAGTCACTTCATGATTTAGTAATTTAGTAATCCTTTTTGTAAACCACTGAGTACCGTAAGCAGAGGCCGCTTGTTTGTTCCCAGCTACCCAGAACTGAAATAATCACACAGAAACTATATTATTTAAATCACTGCTTGGCCAATAACTTAAGCATATTGCTAGCTAGCTTTTATATCTTTAGTTAACCCATTTTTATTAATCTGTGTATTGTCACAGGGCTGTGTGGCTGTGGCTGTGATTCTGGAGTGTCTATTCCCGGCTTCTCCTTGACTCTGCCTTCTCTCTCTCTCTCTCTCTCTCTCTCTCTCTCTCTCTCTCTCTCTCTATATATATATAGTTTTCCAGCCTTGCTTTATTCTGTTAAGTCATTGACTGAAAGAAGCTTCTTTATTCATTAACCAGTAAAAGCAGCACATATACAGAAGGACCTCCCACACCAAAGTACTATTCCATAGTATGGTTCAGGCTCAGGGTTCTCTCTCTTTTTCTCTCTGCCCTGCCACTCTCTCCCTCCCCCTCTTTTTCTTTCCATTTAACAATATCTTGGTCATTTCCTATGTGGGGTTATTATATTAGAAGTAAAGTAGCAGGACAGGGGAGATGATCCAGAATGCTGACTGGAATCATATCCTCACCATTCCTATAAATGGCAGGTGGGCAAGGTAGACTGCTTATATTGCCAGCACTTGAGATGTAGAGATGGTGGAACCCAAATCACTAAGCTATGGGTTTAAGTGAGAGGTTTTTGCCTCTATAAGATAGAGAGCAACAAGGATGACACTCAGTGTCAATATGTGGCCTCCATATACATGTGCAGACACTTGCACCTATTGTGTTTTATTTGAAATACTGCACACGAATTCAATTGATGATTCCTATGATAATTGTACATTTCAATTTATAGAATGCTAACAAGCAGTCTTTCTGTCTTGCTTCAATGGTAACTACTATATGGTCTTTTGACAACACAGATAATTAGTCTGATTTTCATTTTATTTCAATTAAAAGCTAAAGCACAATGTCTCTACCATTTTCTCTTCCCTTCAGTAATATACGATTATGATCTATTTTTCCACATGCACATTTCTGCTCTGTCTGTTGTTCTTTCTTCCTTCCTCATGCTGCAAGACCAATTTCTTCATTATATACTTTCAGTTTGAAGAACTGAATTTAGCCATTCTTTGAGGGTAAGTCATTCAGTGCAAGTTTTCAAAGTTTTTCTTTTTTCTGAGAATCTTCGTATTTCTCCTCCATTACTGGAGGATGGTACAATTGATACAAAGTAATGAGTGAGATTTCTCATTTTTCAGAATTTGACAATGTTTTTCCTATTGAAATGTTTCAAAAAGGAGCTGCACCAGAAATAATACCTCAGAAAATGAATTGTGCAACTTCCATGAAGCATGTTAATGATCATGGTAATGATTTAGTACACATTAGTGACCAAGGTAATGATTTAGTATTTTCTTTCATTGTTCGGATTTAGTGGGATAGTTTTAGCTGATATTGATAATGACATGCGTGGAATGCATTTTGTAAAAGGGACTGTAATGATCAGCTGGAATGTCTCTTCTCATTTATAATCACCCCACAATGTTGATACTTTTATTACTGCCTTTCCCAATGACATTTAACATCACAGGATGTGAGTGATTCTGGTAAAGCTTTATCCCTATTTGTTCTGACTTTAAAGTTCATGTTTCTTACTCTTAATGCCTTAACATGTCACAGCTGCAGAGTTAAGAAGATTCCAGGCTATATGGCCTCTAAGAGAAAGTTTTCCAAATATTGTACAGTCTCTTTATATCTTGATTTCTAAGTATTTATTGCTTATTAATATTTTTAGCACAGATCAGCAAACTTTTTCTGTAAAGGGATAGATGGTATTTTTGTCATAGATGCTTATATCCACTGTGGTAACAAGAAATCCACCATATATGACATATCAGTGGATGAGTGTGACTGTAGACAAGTGCACTTTTACACAAATAGGTCCTGAGATTGGCCAATGGATGGAAATTTTCTAACTCCTAAAGGATAGTAGTTATTTTGTTTCTTAAACTAGAAAAAACTTGGACAATTTTTATAGTAAAGTTAACATTTTGATACACTCTTGTAAGAATTATAAATCAGCGCAATTTTTAAAAGATTGTTTACATATTTATATAGAAGTATTTAAAGACAATTATCACATGTACTCACTCATAGGTGGTTTTTAAACATAAAGTGAAGAAAACCAGCCTACAAACCACAATCCCAGAGAACTTAAACAACAGTGAGGACACTAAGAGAGACTTACATAGATCTAATCTACATGGGAAATAGAAAAAGACAAGATCTGCTGAGTAAATTGGGAGCTTGGGAACCTTGGGGGAGGTTGGAGGAGAGGGGAGGGGAGAGGCAGGGAGGAGAGCAGAGAAAAATGTAGAGCTCAATAAAAATAAATAAAAAGTGATATATTTTACAAAATGAATAATTGGCATAAATGTGGAAAAAAAAGAAGTATTTGTACTAGTTGATCCATTAATCACATTTCTACCGGAAGGTATAATAAAAAATTGCATTTAAAATTTTTGCATAAACCAGATGTGGTCTGCATGCCTATAACTTAGTACTTGGGAGGCTAGCAAATATATTTTATGAGTTTGAGTCAATCTGGGGCTACATGGTGCATTATCAGACTAGCCTGAACTATATAACAAGACGTTGTTTCAAAAAAAAAACCTGGAGGGTGGTACAAGAATTTTCCTTTTCATATAATCATGAAAAATTGAAATCAAATAAGCAATGCTAGTGTGTTAGTTAGTGACTTCTGGTTTATCAGTGGAATACGAGACCGTGGAACATGGTGGTTGTGTGTGAGATCTCAAATCTGCCTGCCCACATACAAATACCAGTCAGCAGTGTGTTTTACTAATCTTGTGATATTCAACTACTTTTTTGGTTTTTTTTTTTTTTGAGACAGGATTTCTCTGTAGCTTTGGAGCCTGTCCCAGAACTTGCTCTGTAGATCAGGCTGCCTCAAACTTAGAGATGCCCCCGTCTCTGCCTTTCAAGTGCTGGGATTAAAGACATGTGTCACCATCACCTGGCTCAACTACTTTCTAATCTTAAATAATAGTTCTTTCATCCATGAAGAGATGAAAATAATAGTACCAAATACAAAATATTCTTCAGTGCTAACTGCCACTGGTGTTCTGACAATGTAAATAAACTACTCTGATTTTCATTTTATTTCAATTAAATAGACACAGACCACAAAAATAAAATAAATTAAAAATCCCAGAACTGTTTAAGATATATTAACTGACAAAAGCAGTATTCAGATGTACATACAATATCATTTCAACCTTGATTTTAAAAATAAATAAAATAATAGAAAGAATTATCACAAGACTATGTATCTGTACAGGTGTGTGTGTGTGTGTGTGTGTGTGTGTGTGTGTATACATACACGTGCGCACACACGTGTGTGTGTGTATGCTTGCATGCATGCATGTGGAGGTCAGAGGTGTCTGGTAAGTGATAATTATGGAGTTGTTAGGGTAGTGAAAGTGAGCTTAGAAGTAAATATTAACATGGTATATAGTAATTGCTCAGTAAATGGGAGGTATTTGAAAATTTTAATTATCCCCCACATACTTCATATATTACCTTTAAGACCCATATATACACTTGTTTATATAACTCTGAACATACTTGGGGGATAAAAGGAAGCAATGAGAATACAAATCAACATATTTGCATATTTACCTGAGGCCTAATAATTAAATTTATTCAAGTCAATAAACAGCTGAAATGTGCAAGTTCAAGACTAGCAAAGATGAGCAATGTCATCATATGGACAGACAGCATCAAAGAGACTCATTTAATAGAAAAACATAATTATAGGAAAATTCACTCAAGTAAAATTTGTGTGAACAATCAGTTAGTTTAATTCTCTTGGGAATTTTTGTGATATTCTTCCTGAAACTTTCCTTTCCTTTTTATTACTTTTTTAAGAATTTCAGGCAATGCACTTTGATCACCCTTTATTCCTATTCCTGACTCCTCCCATATCTACCTTCCTTTCTACCCCCTCCCAATCTGTGCTTTATCTTTTTAATTGTCTACTGATCCCAATTTGTGCTTCGTCTTTACTCATGGATGTGGCGGGGGGGAGGTTCACTGGAGCATAGAAAACATACCATTGACCACAAAGTTAAAGAAAACTGACTTTCTTCTGCAAAGATGCCATCAACTGAAATAGTTTCTCAATTAGGGATAGGGGCTGGTCAGCTACCCTTCTTTATTCCAGAAGTTTCACTGTTCTGTTCTTGTGTAGGCAACCATAGCTTCTGGCAGTTCATGAGTACAGCGGTCCTGTCATTTCCAAAATACATTGTTTTACTCTGGTCATCCCCAATCTGTGTCTCTTAGAATTTCTGCCTCCTCTTCTGTAATGGTCTCTGAACTGCATTTGTGACTGAGAACTCCACTGATGCTTGCTCACTGCACTTTGATCAGCTGAGAGTTTCTGTTAGCCACTTTTCACCACACAAAGAAACATCATTGATGAAGTCTAATATATGCACTATTGTATGTATATAAAGATAGATTCAGAGAACAGTTTGATATTAACTATGTTCTTTTAGAAGAATAATAGTAGTATGTTCTCTCCTTTGGCTCATGAGGTCTCCAAGCATGAGTTCTTGGCTATATTTTCACTACCAGACATGTATTTCTGCCTGTAGAGTGGGCCTACAATTCCAATCAGAATGCAAATGGTTACCCCCATATCATTTATGCCACTATTGCACACCTGAGCATATCTTGCCATGCTGGTCATTAGTGTAGGTCACAGGATTCACAGCTTGGTAAAACTATTGATGACTTTTCCCTAGAAGCATTCATAGCACCTTCTGGTCCTCTGAAAGCTATCTCATTGCTCCCTTTTACTCCGCCCCCCCCCCCAAGTATGTTCAGGGGAGGAAGCTACCTGGTCAGTTAAGTTGTTTATGACATGTGATCAAAATGTGTACTGTCTTCAAAAATAGGGTCTTACTATCAAGTTCTGATTTTTCCCTGTATTTTAAAGGGTATCTTGGTGATCCAAGAAGAAACATCAGGTTATCTAATTTTCATTTGGAAGCTGCAAAAAACAAGCCAACACCCAGCTGTGCAACCTGCTACTTGGCTAACCTGATATTATCTGAGGAAATCCTTTTGAATACAGTTGCTGACCAAATTTCACACTGTATATTCACGGATCATAACAAAATGTCTGCAATAAGAGGTATGTAAAGTTACTAAAGAATTTTGTTTTTATCACCATTTTGTCATATAATGAATGTTATTGGCAGTTAGAAGAAATAGTGATGGAATCTGAATTTTTGAACTGTTCATTGTACTGGGTTATACTGATTTTACAATCTAATGATGCACAATGGATATAGATTCTAAAGAAAAACTTGTTTTTAGGATAGTGTACTAATACCAGTCTTATTGATTGTAGTTGTTTCTAAGTAATAAGTCACATTTTAGTACTGAGACTTGTGAAAGGAAAGATAAAGAAAAGACTGAATGAATAAATAAATAAATAAATAGAGGATAAGAAGAAGAAATAGTCTTTTAGTGCTAGTAACTTACAACATTGAAGAAGGATCTCATGGTTGACTCAGATCATCTTATCTTAGGAATGTGTATTGAGGTCCTAGATTTTATAGACATTGGGCACACCATAGTGTAAGAATTATGCATGTAGACTATTGCTCAGAGTCTATAAGGGGACACATAGATGGCAACAGTTAGAAATATTTTCCAGTGTAATAGTGTTGAAGGGGCTCAGAATAGGACAGCTACACCGAGAAGGCATCCCTAAGGATGAACATTTGAGTTCTATTCTGGAGGAGTCTTTATCTTTGTCTGGGTGAATGGTGTACAAAGAATATCTTATGCTGAAGGAATAATTTAGGGGAAGACAGACATGACAAGTGTATCAGTGTATAGAACGTGGCATCATCATGTTTACAGTGACATTCTTTTCCCTTCACAGAGTGTTGCCTCTTTTGAGTTCTAATATTCCCTAAGTGGTCTTAGAACCTTGAAAGAGTTAGCACTTTCTTTTTTCCTAAATCACCAAGATCAAAGTATTGGCCCCTCCCCCAAGTGAATGCTTTCAGGAAATATGTGAAATGAAGAGATAATGCAACAAAGCTTTTTCATCAGGTAGACCTTCTAAAATCCCAGGGTAAAACAGTTAAAAAATAATAACAAAGAAGAATAAAGATCAGGAAGAGCAAAGATCCTTTTTGTTTTAAATAAAGCGTTTCTTATTCATGTCTTTGTTAGTTTCTTTTTCGATTTTTGTGACTACTTCCTCTGTTTGTAGAATACCTCATGACAGTTTTTACAAACTATGACTTGAGTGAGCAAGGAAAAGACTGGGAAGACTGTCTTTCTGCTGTTTATTTTATGACTGAGAAGTTGTATGCCGAAACAGAAATACCCACAGTAAGTTTCCTTCTATCTTATTATAGAAAATGCTGTTTCCATATTGGGTAAAATTTCAGAATTCATAGCATAGCACTCAAAATCTTCAGGCCATGTGCTGTTTAATTGACTTAGGTAGGAAGAGATTATTTTTCCAGATTGTATTGCCTGTTTGTTTCCCTACTTTATATTCATATTTTGTAAAATGATTTCAAGAGAAATAAAATATTAGGTTATAGCTAATATATTAAAATATTTACTAAGCCTTTCCCCATATCTTACTGAAACACATACATGCAAAAGCAGGTATGCCAGCGGTTGTGGCTGGGTCTATACAGAAGAAAGCACAGGCCAGGTCCTTCACTACTTGTTCATTTCTATTGATGATGGGACCTGTTAAAAAGAATAGATGTTAAGGTTAAATTATTACAGATCTACTTTTTCTTTCCTTTTATTTCTCCTTTTTTGTTTATGGGTGTGTGTGTTTGTGTGTGTGTGTGTGTGTGCTTGTGTGCAGGCTTCTGTGTGTTTGCTTGGAAGTTAGAGGAGGACTTGGGTATCGTGCTCCATCACTCTCCACCTATCTCCTTTAAGACAGTTTCTTACTGACTTTTTAACTAGGCTAGTAGTCAGTAAGCCTCCGTGATTATCCAACCCCACCTATATGTTGTTATATATGTGTTCACAGCTATGCTTGCCTTGTTATGTGGATTTAAACTCAGGTGCTCGTGGTTATACAAGTAATCATCCCTTTTGAACAATTTCCTCAGCCCATATGACATGTATTTTTTAGCCTGTGTAGTATATGGCAATATGAGTGTAGTTTCTTTCTCATGTATTCCACTTTAAAAGTCCACTAGAGATTTATTTTTAACATTAAATGATCCATTATAGAAGAATGCCGTATATATTCTCTTCCTGGTAATGTATTTAAGTCAATAACAGTTCCTAATTTTCACCAGTCTCTCTAAGGACCCCACTTTATTGTTACCATATTTAGTCACGTCTGTCCCTTTAGAGTAAATTTATGGAACTGTTTGCCAGGAGTATTTGTAGCTGAGTTGATGTTTTCCTAGTGAGTGACTGGATTTCAATGATAGCTCAAGCACCATCTGTCAGAAACTAGATCAGCTTATTTTTAACATTCCATTTTATAGCCCCCAAAAACTGCACCCTAAACAATTTGTATGCAAAAGTCAATATGCTGACTGGGAAATGGTAATTTGCATATTTGCTTAGGCTTTGGAAAAGAAGCAATATCTGCCTGGTGCTTGCACTGTGCTTTATAAGAGGCCAGATATAGGTCCTTGGCTTTCAAAGTGGCCCTGTGATGCAGAAACCTTGTGAGAAACGTAGCCTTGGGTTTCACCTCAGACTCACAGAAGGAAAATTTGCATTATCGAGCCCCCAGTTCCAGATGATTTATAAGAACCCTAAAGTTTGAGGGGCCTGACTTAGAACAATGGTTGTACATATCAGTGTACATATCAGAATCACAGGAGGCACTTTTTGTTCATTGAGACTTGCCCCATTATGTCTTGTCTCACCAGGATAGGTCTCAAATTCAGGGGCTCAAGTGATCCTCTTGCCCTGACCTCACATTTGTAACACATTACAAATGTCTGAGCCTACCCCCCTTGTTTGGTGAAAGTGGAAACCAGTTTGGGTGTTTTTGTAAGCAATAATTTCTATTTATTTATTTATTTATAATTTTACATTCCAACCCCAGTTCCCCCTCCCTCAACTTCTTCTGCTTCCCCTGCATCCCCCATCCCACCTCCATAGGCCTCCCTTGAGGCATCAACAAAGTCTGGCACACCATGTTGAGGCAGGACCAGGTTCTACCCGCTGCCAGGCTGCATCAAGGTTGAGCAAGGCATTCTACCATAGGAAATGGGCTCCAAAAAGACAGTTCATACACCCAGGATAAGTCCTGTTCCCGCTGCCAGGGGCCCCACAAGTAAATCAAGCCACACAACTGTCACCCACATTCAGAGGGCCTGGTTAGGTTCTATGCAGGATCCCCAGCTGTCATTTCAGAGATCATGAGCGCCCACTAGCTTGGGTCAGCTTTCTCTGGTTTTCCCCATCATGATCTTGACTCCTCTTGCTCATATGATTCCTCCTTCCTCTCTTCAACTGTAAGCAATAATTTCCTAAAGTTAAATATATAACCAGATTTGAAAGTCATTAGGAAAAGAGAACAAAAACAAAAGCATAAAATATTTTAAAAAGCAGAAACAAAACAAAACATCCCATCCTCAAGGAACACTCATGTGTTTATCTTTTTCCTGAAATACTTATCACACCACTGGCTTGAGCAGTTCATTAGACAGAGCTTAGAAATAGCAGGTCTTGACAATGTAAGGTAGTACTGGGGTGCCTGATATTTATAATGTCATCCTCCATTTTAGAAATGTTTAGTTGTTTCCTTACCAATTTGAGTCTGGGGCTAGGTAGATGCTGACATATGTACATACTCTCTCACTATGCAAATCTATTTATAGATAATGATTTTGTGTTCCAGGATAGGAACTTCAGTGTGCCCATCTCCACAAACTGGAATATCAGAAATGGTTATGTTGAGGGTGAGGGCCCATCTCAGTGCTTTCAGGAGGTCAGGGAGACAGTGATAAGAGAAATTGGGAGTTGTGAACAGAATGTTAGTGCTAACCCTGAAAACACCGATACTGCATTCATCATTCCTGATGAACTAGGTGAGTTTTTTGCTCTTGTTGTTTTGCTTTGAGTTTTTGTTTGTTTCTTTGGTTTTGTTTTGTTTTGTTTGTTTGTTTGTTTTTTCGAGACAGGGATTCTCTGTGTAACAGCCCTAGCTGTCCTGGAACTCTCTCCATAGACCAGGCTGGCCTTGAAATCACAGAGCTTCACCTGCCTCTGCATCCAGAGTGCTGGGATTGAAGGCATGTGCCACCACGCTGGACAAACTAGGTACTAGATGAGTTCTAAATACAAGTTCTCTGGTCAGTGGATCTGGGCAATACATTTGTAGGCTTTATTGTACTATTTTCTATTTCTATGCTTGTTGAAAAACTTTTGTAAGAAATTGTAACAACTTAAAGTAATGAGCTAATGAAACAAAGATACTAGGGTCTGACATTGATTATTTTAAATGTTATGTTGAATTTATTGTTCTTCCTGAAGAGAGTTGTCTTCTGATGACATTTTTTCTGGTGAGAGCTCTGAGATAAGACACCATCGGTTCTGTCCTCCACAGGTGACAGGAAGTAGCTACAGCTGAATCAGCTTTTAGTTTTGGTCTCTGTGGATGGCACACTGGTGGTGCTCACTCAGTAAGGGGTTTGAGTAGAAATGACTAAATCACATTTTTAGGGCATTCTCTCACTGCCAACTGTGTACTATGTCAAGTGTCAGTGGTTCTGTAAGTTACTGAGCCACCAGCCACTGTGCTTTCCATGACATTCTCCCCAGGATGCTGGCCTTTAACATCACTACCAAATGAGTGATCCCTAGGGTCTCTACCCTGGCATTCATGTCAACACTCAGTGGACTGTTACTGAGGATCATGTTCAAAGGGAATTATGAAGAAACACATTTTTCATTATATGAGTAATTCAACTGCTGTACATGTTAAAGCTGTACCTGAACTGATTGAATTAATCAAAAATGAAAACTACAAGACAAAGAAGCCAAAACAAACAAAGCAATTAGAGCTTCATGTTGGCAAGAGCCAGATCAGCCACAATAGTGACAAATGAAATTTCTTTTGGAGGAACATGGTTCACTCTTTTCATTTTTTATTTATTTTATTTTTTTTAGATTTATTTATTTATTATATATACTGTATTCTGCCTGCATGTATGCCTGCAGACCAGAAGAGGGCACCAGATCTCATTACAGATGGTTGTGAGCCACCATGTGGTTGCTGGGAATTGAACTCAGGACCTTCGGAAGAACAGGCAGTGCTCCTAACCTCTGAGCCATCTCTTCAGCCCGGTTCACTCTTTTCTGACCCTAACCTCACTCTCACTAAGCAGCATATTGAACCAACTGGCAACCATACTTTGTGAAGAATTTTTATGCTGTTTTATTTTTTAAATTAAATTTTTAAAATTTCAATACTAGCCCTGCACAGCTACAATTTTCAAATTACTGACTCACGATTACACTGAAACAGAAACACAATAAACAGACATAAAAGCAAGCTCGTTTTTACTTACCTCCAACTGGGTGGGTCTGGAGTGGGTCTGGAGGTGACTACTTCCTGGCCAAATGCACCAAATGTTGGACCCTGAAGTCCAACTACCAGGAGGAGTCGCCCCAAGAGACCACCCTCACACCACAGTTGATATAAAAGCATGAGGATTTTTAATTCTGTCGAGACAGGGTCTTTCAGCATTTGCGAAGCCAAAAGACACTGAATAGCTGATAAGGGCTACTTTTAAAGCAAAAAGTCATAGAAACAAGGCGGGTGTGGGGGAACTCGGGGAGGGGGGTTGTTTTCCAACTATTGGGATTGGCGTATTTAAAGGGCTATTAACAATAATTGGGCTGAGCCAGGACTGGAGGGTGGTTGCCAGATCAGGTGAGGTAAGAGGAAACATTTGAGGGTTACTTTGACCTCCCTCCCAGGGACTGAGTCAAAACATCAGGAACTGAGACAACATCTGAGCCTCAAGGAAAACATGCTGTTTTTTTTTTTTTTTTGTGGTAAGGGGCACCTGTAAGGACTGCTGACAGTCATCTTAAGTGGGCTGATGAGTAACCAGAACAGATTTTATAAATGCAGTCAGGGCCTGAGGGTCCCGAGAGAAGGAAGAGTTATAAGTAAAGATCAGAGGCAGATAAAGACCGGTATTGTAGTTGGCCTGCTACTGAGTGAAAAGGGAACTCTTGGGAGGTCCCTCTCTTCCTTGTGGAGTCCCTCCACTTTCCTGGCATAGATGCAGCTGCCTGAGGGCAGAGGGCTGGAGTTCTCTAGCAGGCTCCTAGGAATGGGTGCAGGAACTGCTTTCTGGGGGGGGAAGAGGATGGAGATGGGCATAAGAAGGAGGAAGGGGGTGGAGGGGGTCCAGGAGGGAGCAGATCATAGGGATGCAGAAAAGCTACATTTCTCTCAAGGAAGGAGGGAATAAAGCAAGTTCTCATTCCCCTTCCCAAGTTTTTTCTACCTACCATTATCCAGGGTGTCCCCATAGATAGCCTTCTGAGGAGTGGAGGCTGGTCCTTCCCTTTCTAGGGCACCAGGGAATGAAGGTCCCTGTGCAAGCACCCTGTTTGGTGGTGGGCTGGTGTGGGCTGCTGTAATGCTCTGTCTCTTTAAAAGACAAGCCACGCCCACTCCCTCCCAGCTTGCAGCCTCAGCCACTCTCTTTTCTTGTCCCTCCCAAGAAGAAGTAGCTTCTGTCTCTCCCCATTTTTTCCTTCCCTCATCCATAACTCCCAGAATAAATGTCCAATTTCATTTTGTATGGTGTACCTATCTGCCTCTCCATCCGTCCACAGCCACCACATGGTGTGCCCCAGCTCTGCCCAGGACTGGCTGCTCTTGGGAGCTGCTGCCCACTGCCTGTTGGGCAGCTCAAGCAAACCCATTACAGCTGCTGGCGCCCGAGATGATGGAGGTGCTTGAGGCCTCGCCCTTGAAGCCTTCCGATTCCTTATCGCCCTGCCTGGCCGGTTCCCTGAATGCCGGGAGCGGGTGGGCTCAGGGTGCATGTAGAGTGCAGCTGAGTGGGCATGCGGGCAGAGAGGCACAGGGTACCAGGCAGAGGCTCGGGGAGTCGGGGAGGTTGGAGCGCTGCGCCTGAGTGGGGGGCTGGGCTGTAATACTTGGGGTGGGGTGGTTCAGCACCCATGGGTGGCGCCGCCCCCCCCAGCCAGCTTCCCCGCTGGCCTGGAGCCCATCGAGGCACACAGCCGACTGGTGGAAGTGCGCCCAGAGGTGGCTGGTACCGAGGGGTGGTCCCCCACCTTCCCTCTGCCCCAGGATTTGGTAAGCACTACATGTTTCCTGGATGCCACTGTCTGCCAGGCGCTCCAATAGCAGAAGATTTAAGTTCAAACAGATGCACACACACAAAAAATGAAAATACAAAAAGACAGACAGAAACTCAAAAATCAAAAGCCGTGCAGAGCAAAACTGAAAGTAAATACAGATGGAGACAGATCATGCCTCCCAGGGACTAGGGCGACCTGATCGCCCCTCCCTCAAAAATGCCCATGAAGTGTCCCCCAGCAGGCTGGGACAAAGGGGTCTCAGGACATGTCTGCCTCCCTCCTTTGGTCCCATTTCAATACTAGCCCTGCACAGGTACAATTTTCAAATTACTGACTCACGATTACACTGAAACAGAAACACAATAAACAGACATAAAAGCAAGCTCGTTTTTACTTACCTCCAACTGGGTGGGTCTGGAGTGGGTCTGGAGGTGACTACTTCCTGGCCAAATGCACCAAATGTTGGACCCTGAAGTCCAACTACCAGGAGGAGTTGCCCCAAGAGACCACCCTCACACCACAATTGATGTAAAAGCATGAGGATTTTTAATTCTGTCGAGACAGGGTCTTTCAGCATTTGCGAAGCCAAAAGACACTGAATAGCTGATAAGGGCTACTTTTAAAGCAAAAAGTCATAGAAACAAGGCGGGTGTGGGGGAACTCGGGGAGGGGGGTTGTTTTCCAACTATTGGGATTGGCGTATTTAAAGGGCTATTAACAATAATTGGGCTGAGCCAGGACTGGAGGGTGGTTGCCAGATCAGGTGAGGTAAGAGGAAACATTTGAGGGTTACTTTGACCTCCCTCCAAGGGACTGAGTCAAAGCATCAGGAACTGAGTCAACATCTTAAGGGTTAACTTGCCCCAATTTCAATAACTGAGTTCTATCTGGAGAACATTCACAAAGACTCAGGGAGATGGAAAGTTCCCAACATTTCAGTACATATGTGGGTAATTGTTAGATTCCTGGTTCCCAGAGGAGGGGGGAAAGCACTAAGGCTGAGAGGCCTCAGAGTTATTTTAGTGTTTTACAACATTTTCTCCAGGATATTTTTCTAATGAATATTTGAAACATTAGAATTTCTACATAATTACTCTTTTCAGGTATATTTCCCTCAAAAATCAACAGTCTTTATAATCATTGCTCTATATTGGCTTATAACATTCCAGAGTTGGTATATTCCAATTTATTTAACTGACTCCTTTCTTTATTTGTTGCCTTTTGTTGAAAGTTTATTTTTAGGAGTGGCTTACCCACCACAGGGCTATTTACCTTCATTTAAATACTATATCCCATATTTTCTTAGGTTCTGTGGAACTAAATTATCATCTTAGTATATCAGTCTCCTAGAATTAAGGCTTTGGGCCCAATTAGAAGGTTCTAAATAATCTACTCTGTTTTAATGTGTGTGATTCAACATATGTACTCCTATGCATTGAGTGATGACTGTTAAAAGACAAAAATACTTATTGACTTGTAAAAATCATACCATTTTTCTTTGAGACATTTTTGTCCACAAATAACCTTTAGTCATATATAATGCATAGTAATTTTCACGTATGATTGATTTCAATCATTGTGGAAAGTAGATGCTAATAATCTATAGAGTTGAAAAATAATTTTTCAGTTCTACTAAGATATCTAAAATAATGTTATCTATGACAATCCAGAGTTTGTTGTTTGTGTAGAGATGAATGTATTACTAAATAGAAAACCTACTTTTTAAAGTTTAAATGCATCAGTAAGAATTATGTTGTTTATTTTTGAAAGTCTTTTTTTTGTGAGTAGGGAAATAATACATAAACTTGATTAGAATTTATCAACTAAATTTACCTAAATTTAATTTTAGTAATTATTGCATGCCAGAATGTAGCAGAACACAAAGGCATCTTTTTGAACAATGGTGGCATATGCTAGCAGTAATATACATCTCACTTCTTATGTCTCATGATATACTAATTTTTAAAAATAATTTAAAATTTTAAGTTATATTTTAAAATTATTTCAAAGAATTTAAAACAATGTATTTAAATCATATTATTTACCCTCCTCCAAGTCCTCCAAGATCCCTTCCATCTCCCTATCCACCCAATTTCTTGTTTTTAACCTACTCTCAGAAAAGCTCAAAAACCTATAAAATCAAAACACTAGAAACTTAATGTTTAATTATTTTAAGTATTCTAGTTCTTGAAACTAAAAATCTGGAAAAATTAATTTTTCTAACAGTGCATTTTAAAAGTACAATCTAATCTGTCTTTCTGTTTTGTTTCTAGTATATCTCGGAGATCCATCTAGAAATATACCAATACCATATTCAGTACTGAAAATAGCAAAAACCCGATTGCGCCCAGATCTGTCAGCCAAATACATCATTCTCCACTTGTTTCCAGAGAAAATCCTAATTAGAAGTAATGTTTATGGCAATACAGATTGTGGCCTGTTTGCCCTTGATTCCAATAGGATTGGTGCTCTCAAAGGTTTGTTACATGTAGACTATAAGAGAATAAATACAAGTCAATGGTATTAGGAGAAAAGGGCAAAAAGAATAATCAAATTCATTTGTCTTTCCTCTGAGAGATCGATGTTGTACTAATTCTTTCACTGAGGACTAATAAATTTCATAATTTGTAATTCTCTCTGCATTTGGCTTTTGAAGGCTAACTGCTCTGTCTTGAATGGACTAAACTAAGATAGGGAAGGCTCTACTGACTATGGTCTGCCATAGGTATTGTAACTCAACTTTCACTAACTGAAGCAAAGCGTTGAAAATGAAGGCTTTCATTGATTTGCAGAATTTTCCTGGTGTTGGTTCTACACCTATAACACATGTAAATGAAGCAAGAAATCTTTCTTCCAAAATTCTGTGAGATCTTAAATTTAGACACAGGAGAAAATAGAATACTTCTCATGTTGCTAATGCTCAACACAGATATACATACTTCTGATTCCAAACCTGACCTCCTGTTATAAATCTTTGGTTCTTCCTCATACCACATAATTCCATTTCCAGCAAATTAGAACAACACTGATATTTCAGGTTAAACTAAAGAAACCTAAATTACAGCTCCCTTTGTAAGCATTTGCTATCGTCTCAGTCAATTGTTTTTCACCTTTAAAACAAACAGCTGAAACCTACACTAATATAGCACATTGTGTTCACTATCTGCTACAGCTTTTGGTCATGGACACATGACTTGTTTTTAGTTTTATAAAAGTGTCCATCAGGGGATAGGGAGATAGGTCATCCAGTATAAAAAAAATGCTTGCTTTGCAAGCGTGAGGATCTGAGTTTGCTTCTCAGAACCCATGTGAAAACACAGGACATTGTGGTACACATTCATAATCCCAGGACTGGGGAGACAGAGACAGGGAACTCTTTGAGGCTTGATAGCCGGTCATTTATCTTAATTGGTGAGTTCTAGACCAGTAAGAGACCTTGTCTCAAATATACTCCTTGGCATGTCTGAGGATGACACTCAAGGTTGTCGGTACGCTGGCTTCCTTAAGCACATGTGTACCAGCACAAACACACCTAGGAATAAAAACATTCATCAAAATACAGTCTACTACTGAATCCAGTTACTTATTACAGAAGCTTCCTTCTAGACTACTGCTGATCTCGGTAGTATTGGGGATGTGAAACCTTCTAACACATGTATTGCTAAACATTTTGAATTGGTGCTTTGTTATCAGCGTTGTCCTGATTTATTAGCTTATTAATTTTGCAGAAACAGAAATAGAACAATGTTACAAACAATTTCTGACATGTCATGGCCACCAGAGTTTAAAGGATCAAAACACTGAGGCATTAACCTGCAAAAGCATTTGAGAGCAGCTTTGATATACGAATAAATATCTCTTCTCTCCACCTGCCCTTGTTTTGCCACTTTCTCTAAGAACAGTTCTTGAATGATGTGGCTTTCTCACCTTTCCTTAGCAAAAAAAAAAAAAAAAAAGCATTGCTAGCTTCCTGAGTCTCCAAGTGTGAAGACACTGCAGTTTCTCATACATTTCAACGATTTAAGATAGTTGGTTTTGAGATAATGAATAGGTTAGATGCAGGTTGAGATGCTTAACAATGAGTGTTGATCTTGGTAATTAAGACAGCTAAGAATTTCTGTTCTGGCATGTAATGAGTTCGTTGGAGATTATTATGATTTGAAATGATGTTTTATGTAATTATTTATTATAAAAAGATTAATCCAGCTCATTAAATAATGGTTGCAATCCGTGCATTTCAGTTCATTAAATTCTTAAGATCCTTGTTTGGGTGTTCAGTTCAGTTATAGACCTGGATTTGATTCCCAGCACTGAAAAATGGGGGAAATGACAGTAAAGGAGGAAAACTAAGTGCATGAATTAGTTTCTCTGAGAAGTGATTTTCAAGTAACTGTTCTGTTTTAAATTTTTACCACCAGAATTTCTTCAGGACAACTACCCTGATTATGATCTAGAAGAAACTGAATATTATTGGAAATTGTGTGTGACAGCCATCAACATCTGTCTCCAAACTCTTAGACAAGACCCAAGACTGTCATTTACTAATTTCTAGCATTCTAATGCCATTACTAATTTCTAGCAGCATCTCCTTCCATGGAGTTGACCAAAGTGTCTGATGAAACTAACTGAAGCACTTACCTACCCATTTTTCTAAAACAGTAGATCATTTCTGTAAGTTTCTGAAGTTGTATTACTATAATTAACCTGTCATAATGACAAAATTTTGAATTGACTACCTAATAATTGACAAAAGATCTTCTGCTTTCAAGAAATACTTTTGTCTCTGGACAAAGTGTGGAGCAATATACTGCTGTCTTGAGCCACCAGTTAGGATAATACCAGGAAATTCTTAAAAGATTGTTTTACATGGTTATTTGAATATAGAGTGAGGATGGGATACTTAGCACTTAATGATGGAAGAAAAATGAGTATAAGCAACGCACATGTAAGTAGAGAACTATACTTAGGACAGCCCATAATCTTTTAAGCATAACTTGCATACAATAGAAATTTGCCAAGTGAGTTGACCCTTTAGAACTTAGGTATAAACGGGTTCATTCATAAAGGAGGTATTATTTACTTATAGCCAGAACATCTTGAGTGTCTTTCCTATACATTGTATACAATTATAAGGTTGCTGTCACATTTATTTGACCTAAACCTTTCAGGGAAAAAAAACTAGATGCCTTGATTTACTCCTGATATTCCTTAAATTACCTCTTGATAACATTTTATCACACAAGTTTGCTCAGGCTGAATATAGAAAACTACCAGGGGAGTTGGCATTCCTTTCAGTAATTAAAATTAACAATGTCTGCGAATAACAAGAATCTTACCAAATTCAGGCACTGAAATTATTTTTGATTTCTGGAATGTCTGGGTAAAATTTTTAATATATTTCTCATTTTTCAGATATAGTATACTAGTCAAATGCACACAAATTTAAGTTGACAGTATTTCATATATAAGACAACATGTATAAGACAAAATTCAGAGAAAAGTGCTTTTAAAGCAATGGTTCTCAACCTATGAGTCTCAACCCCTTTTGGGGAGGCATATCAGATATCCTGCATATTAGATACTTACGTTATAATTCACAGCAGTAGGAAAACTACAGTTATGAAGCAGCACAATATGAGGAACTGTATTACAGGGTCAAATTAGGAAAGTTGAGAACTACTGTCTTTAAGGATACGGCACAAATATTGGAAAAGTGAAAAACATCCATCTTGCTCATGAATAATATTTTGTTTTTTTTTAAGTACCTTGTTGTAGAACAAATTATTGGATGTTTTAGCCACAGGAATAATTCCATTATTTGAATATTTGTGTTTAGGAAACATTTTATAAGTCATAACGCCATCTTTTATCTTTAGACATATCAAAAATTGTGTGCACTTGAAGTAAATTTTAAATTGCTCATTAAACTTTTCTCATGAAAATTTTCAGTATAAACAAAAATTCGATCTTACATAGTTGACCTTGACTAACTTCAGAGTTTTAATAAATCAGAGAAAAAAATCTAGTGAAAAGTATGGCACTGTAAGTCAGTTAAATAGTATAGCTACTTTGAAGTCCTGTTATTTTCACAACCTGTGAGAGATAGTAATGTTTTGTGACCAATTATAGAAGATATACACATGTATGTATGTACATACACACACACACAACTTTTTTGAAAACTAAATTTAACTTTTAGAGTTTTAGTACAAAGTAGTATGACTTTATACTGATTATTCATGACGTATTAGACATTGTAGATAGCTGTGGAAATAGCTTAGTGGTGGAACACATGTTTACATGCACAAGACTCTAGGTTAATTCCTGGCACCAAAAGAACAAAAGAAATAGATGTTTTAAGGTTCATGCCTCTATATAAATAAGTAAGAAAGTAAGTTTTTCCTTTAGCTTAACAAAACTATAGTGTTTTATGTACATCTTTATTTTAATGGTGTGCTTACAAAGGTAGATAGTTTTAAAAATCTCCCATAATTAGATAGAAGAATGTTGCATGTTTTTGGGGTTTTTTTGTGGTTGATTGTTATTGAACTCTACAGACAGAAGAATTTTGACAAGTATTATTTAGACTCACTCCAGCTTCATCATTTAGTTTAAACCTATTTCACAAATATTGACAGTTTCTCTAACAGAAATAAAAATCCATGCTATAAACACACATCAAAGCATAACATTGTTCTTCAGAAATACATCCAACTATTTGGTAGTTAAAATACAATTAAAAGGAAAAGTGAAATTGTATGCTGGGCAAGAATTAACTCCAAACCTCATCTACAGATTTCAAATTAAATTTGCCCTTTTGGAAAAAAATACAAGATTAAGATTTTCTGTTTTCAAATTTTCAAGATATAATGGCCATTGCTTATGTAAGTTATTTGGAGAAGTCCTACAAACACATTTTCTACAGAAACGGAAACACAAGTAACTTAAGTTGTTCATTGTGATAGTCACCAGGACTATGTAACTGCTAAACATCTGAACAATTAGAGGAATTAAATTTAAATTTGGGATGACTAAAATTAAAAGGTATGGATGAATGTCATATTTGATATTTATTGGCTTTTTATTTTGGAATTGGAAGGATTGAATTTTAAGACTCATACATGCTAGACAAGTACTTCATTGCATTTCAAGTCCAAACAATGCCCTTTATTTGTATAAAGTACTCAAAATAGTTCCCATGGTTTGAAATATAACGTGTATATCTTCTGTGAAAATCATATACTGCAAGATAATTTCATAATGGTACTGAATACTTTATTGTACACTTGCTGTCTTCAAAACTTTACAGATTAATCCTGTTGTGTTAGCTCAATAACTTTCTACTTTTAAGACTTGCTTTTGAAAAGTACATTTATCTTTACTTTTTGTTGTCCAGATAAATGTAATGAATAAACATTTAAACTATCCTTAACATAAATTCTTTGGTTGCTTTTTTTAATGAACACATTTTATAGAACTCATACTAAGGTTATCTTATAGTGTTTCATGTTAATGATGTACTTTTGGGGGGAGGGCATTTCGAGACAAAGTTTCTCTGTGTTTGCCCTGGCTGTCTTAGAACTCACTCTTGTAGACCAGGCTGGCCTTGAACTCACAAAGATCTCTTGCCTCTGCCTCCAGAGTGCTGAGATTAAAGGCATGTGCCACCACCACCTGGCCAGTCAGTCTCATAACTGAAACCCATCTAGGATACTTCTTTCTTTGTTAAGCAAATATAGGCAATACACTGTTTATAGTGAACTTTTACACTATGTTTATAAAACACTTCATTCTCCTTTAGGATGTACTAATTAGCAATCTCAAATAATTTGTAGAATAATCTTGGAAGATAATTGGGCTACAAATCTCAGACCACAGACATAAATGGGCAAGGATTTAAAACTATGTTCTTACATCAACTTCATTTCTGTTTTGAGGTTCCATGAGGCTTATGAGTTTCCTTGGATGGCACAGAAATAACCCAGAGCCTGAGAAGAAGCAGGCTAGGGAGGGTATCAGAAAGTGAGCTCTTTCATGATTACTTTCTAGGGTTGGGCCTTTTCATGATGGGGAAGAGGGTATCAGAATCGGGTTCTCTTTTTTTTTTTCAGTTACCATCTGCTGCAGTGTTTTTTTTTAATCTCATGTTGTTTAGCCTTTGGCTTAAAGTTATTCTTCTGTCTTTAAAACCTGTTTTTCAGCCTCAAAGACATATATACACGTAACATTATATAAAATCATCAGGTTATATTTAAGAATGTCTATAGAAATATAAAAATGCTTGCAGTAACAACTAATAAAAAAGTCAAGAACTTAAAGAAGAGCAGGTAGGGGTATAGAAGGGGTTTGGAGAGAGGAAAAGGAAGGGAAAGATGAATAAATTGCAATCTTAAAAATAAAAAAGAAACCCTCATTCTGATCAATCGGCTTCTTCTGCTCCTAAGAACCCCACAAACTCACAGAATTCCTTTTGCTGCTGTTACTTTTTCATCACAGGAAATAGGTTTTGCCTAGATCCCCAGCATATTGTATATTTCTATGTGGCTACATACATAGATTTTTGGCTCAATACAAAATGACGAAATTGCTCATAGTATTATTTAAAAAGTGAAATATTTTACTTTTCTCAGTTTTAATTTGGGTCAATTTTGGACTTTCAGTGGCTGAAGTAGTAGTGACAGGGATGGTTACTATTTACTTAGCTCTAGCTATGTACCAGGAATTGGGCTCTCAATGTGGGGTGGGGATTATCAAGCTTCAGCTCAACATCATCACTTCCCCCTCTTGGAATCTTCCATTAGTGAAAGATAAGTTGGGATGCAAATTTCTCTAGAACCTGGTTTTATGATAGTTCTCATTTAGGGTTTGTCAAGATGGGAATGGGAATGTAGCTTAGTTGGTAGAGTGCTTCACTAACCATGTCTGAAACCCTGAATTTGTCCCCTAGCACTACATAAAGCCAAGAGTAGTGCATGCTTTTGAGAGAAGCAGGAGAAACAATGTTTGGGCTGGGTTGATGTGGAATTCCCCACTATGCTGTGAATACCATTGGTTAACAAAGAATCTGCTTTGGCCTATTGCAGCACAGAGTAGGGCAAGGCAGGAGTACCAAGCAGATAGAGGAGGAGAGAGTAGGCAGAGTCAGGGAGAAGCCATGTAGCTGCCACAGGAATCAGATGCCAAATGGAGGATGGAACCTTACCTGTAGGACACAACCATGCGGCATTACACAGATTAATAGAAATGAGTTGATTTAAGATACAAGAGCTAGCCAATAAGAAGTGAGAGCTAATAGACCAAGCAGTGTTGTAAAAATACAGTTTCTGTGTGATTATTTCAGGTCTTGGCGGCCAGAAAATGAGCGAGTAACCTCCAACTACACTGAAAAGATGGTCCAGTTGATAAAGTACTTTCTTTTTAAAAAAAGATTTATTTATTATGTATACAGTGTTCTGTCTGCATGTATGCCTGCAGCCAGAAGAAGGCACCATATCTCATTACAAATGGTTGTGAGTCACCATGTGGTTGCTAGGAATTGAACTCCAAACTTCTGGAAGAGGAATCAATGTTCTTAACCTCTGAGCCATCTCTCCAGCCCGATAAAGTACTTTCTATACATATATGGGTACCTGAGCTTAGACCCTTAGAATCCACATAAAAAAGCCAGGCATAATGTGCAACTATGATCCCAGTGCTGGAGAAGCAGAGACAAGTGGCTTCCTGGAACTTTCTGGTCAATTAACCTAGCCTAATTGGTGAGCTCCAGGTTCAGTGAGAGGACCTGTCTCAAAAAAAATAGTGATCAAGGAAAACAATTGACCTCCAGTCTTCACAAGAATTCACATATATCTATCTTCTTATACATATGACCTCATGCATATACTACACCCCCCTACACATGCAGTTTAACTCATCCTTGACTGAGATACAAGAATCTCAGTCTCAAAGAAAAAATAGAGTTTGCCAATCTCTGGAATTTGCAAGGAATTTGGAAGACAGAAAAGCAAAAATCCTGTTTGAAATGGGGTAGGGGTGGGATCCCACAGGGCATTAACCCTTCCTGAGGATTTACACGGATAATGGTTAATGTGGAAGGGAAAATACTTTTATTTTAGTAATGTAGCCACTATTAAGAGGCACATACTTTAGTAAGCAATTTACTATGCATGTTCCTATAAACAACCCTAATGAAACTCCTTAGGTTGGGAAGAGCAAAGGACTTAACAGGAGTGGGAGGGGACAAGACATGGTAGTGGAGGTGAAACTGACCAAAACACATTATATACATGTATTAACATATAATGCATAATGAATATATGCTAATAAAACATTAAATGAAACAAAAACCAGAAGTAGTTTTTCTCCATAGTCAGACTCCATGACAGTTACAAGATTTAACAGAAGCTTCCCAAGGAACTCGGGAGGATTATGTCCTTGACAGCTGCAGATGGGTTGGGACAGACTGAAGGTGATTTCAGAGATTCTTGAAAACTTCAGCAGCTTCTCAAAAATCTTGAGAACTGTCCACTTTTGATGCTTCACATTAAGGTCTCCAGAATCTGCTCCCTTCATTTTTGGTGGTATTGTCTTTGACCTTGTGTTTTCTACCTCTTAATGGTGCTGCAAACCATAAATACCTTGCCCAAATCCTTTACCCCTGGTATATGTAGCTTGACTTCTGTTTTTCCAGCTGGCCCCTGATGTAGGTAGCCTATTAATGACTTTTATTTTCTCTTTTCCTCTGGAGTTGGCCATTAGAAACAAAAGGATTCACAAGTCTGTTGTGCCCATACCCACCATGGAACAGTTGAATAATAATGAATATTTCAGGCATTAGTAATAAAGCTGAACAGCTTTATTATCAGAATTTGTGTTCTTGTATAAAAACAATGAAGATCAAAACTTAATTTCTTTCCTCTTTTTATTTTTCAAGTATAAAGAGCCATTTCCTTATGAAAGCATTTCCACATCCTCTGAAAGTACAGCAGAATCCATAACCTGAAGACCAGAAACAGATCCCTACCCTTTGTTCTAGTGGGTGGCAGGATTGCACACAACAGCCTTAACCCCACTAACTTTTTTCCTAATTTGTCTTTGGCGCTGAGCTGAGCTTTCTGATGGCAAAGACTGTGTCACTGGTGCCTAACAAAGGTCTGGGGAAAGTAGTGTCAAATAAACAAAGACATTCCTCATTTCTGTTGCCTTTCCTGGAATGGTACTATTAGTTTCATTTCTTTGATTGAGCCTGATTTGACCTTTTCCCCAATAAAGTTGTAACTTCTGAATTGTATTTATCCCTCTGCCTTCAGCAGATTATTAAATTCATGCTTAGAGTTTGGTTGAGTTAGAATGTGAAGAAACCATGAAGCCTGTGTATACTTTAAAGACGCACAAACATTAGTGTGTAATAATTGCTACAGCATCCCATGTAAATGGAAAAAAGAACAATACGTTAATAATTTTTAAAAGGTAAAAATAATGGCTGTTGTACAAATGCAAAGTGGACATAAATGAGAAACTGTATTAATTCACTACTAATGAGGAGACCAGTAAGATGTTAGAGCCATTTCAAAGGGTCATCAAAGGCACAGACACACATGGATCAGGAATGTTAAAATGTATGCACAAATGGAGACAAAACTGATTTCCTCCATAGTGAAGAATGTTAATTGAATGTCTTCCAGGAAGAATATATTTACATATTTCTACATGTATCTTTGTCAGTTATTCTATGTATAGAACCAAAACATGGTTCTAATACAATAAGAAACTTATAATCAGATAACCACAAATCTAGAAGTGCTCAAAACAATGCTGCTTTCCACTGAAACATAATTTCCCCCTATGAATGTAAATATAAGCACAGATACCCTAATGGGACCCTCTGTATCTATTAAAAATAATATGCTCAAAGAGTTGGAGTGATGGAATTTAAGAGTACTGTCTCTCCTACCCTTTCAGATGACCTAGATTCAGTTTCTAGCACTGACATGATAGCTCTGTAACTCCAGTCTCACAGCATCCAACACCCTCTTCTGTCCTCTGTGAGTATTGTATACATAGATAAGCAAGCACATGCAGAAACAAAAAATAATACTAGCACAGGGATCCACAACTGGACAATGCACAGAGAATGAGAGACTTTGGAGAACCCATTTCTAAATGGGATGTTTTTATCAACCCCTCCTCTTGGGGCTCAAAATACTATGCAGAAAAAGAGACAGGAAGATTTACGAGTCAGAGATAATAGATGAATACAAAGAAACAATGTCTTTTGGGATGAAACATGATTAATACACACATACACCTGAACTTACAGAGACTGTGGCAGCATGCACAAGACCTGCACAGATTCAAACAAGACAGTCTCAGCACTGACAATGGAAAGT